GTCCGATATTTTTAAAGGTAAAAGGTATGAAAACTGTTAAAATGTTCTTTGAAGACTGCATGGCACCAAGTTAAAGTGCAATTTAATTAAATCAGACTGTCAACGTGTCAGAGGTTTTTTCTCTTTCTTTCTATTTTCGGTGAAGTAGTGTTGTGTTGTGTAAAAAGGTAAACTTACCACTCGTATAAAATGCGAAAAGGTCTCTAAATTAACTTGAGTATTTTTGAGCAAAAATTCCTCTTGGGGGTTGGAAGGTTTATGTGATCGGTGAGTGAGGGAGTTATGCATGTGCGCGTGTCACACCAATCACAGTGCGGGTTGTATCAAAGAACGAATCAAATTGCCTGTTAGAGAATAAGATGGTATCTACATTATCTGGAGACGTGTCAGATTACTGTAGTTTGTTCAGTCAAACATTTTATGGCTTACTATTTAGCTATCTTTCCATGACCGATGTAACATCGCAACCAAAAAAACTTGTCAGATTAACCAAATCATCACTGTACCATGAATGCTTCATCTCTGACACTTAACACAAAAAAAATAACTCTTGCACGCCTTGCGTGCCTATGTTTAATATTTAAGTGCCTATGAAGTAAAAAACAACTGCTGCTTATTTTAAAGGCTTTTCAAAGTAAAGAAGAATGGCATTTTCCTTTTTTAGAATACCTTTTTTCGTTTTAGAGATATTCACGTTTTTGTATTATGCAAATGAGGAAAGTGATGACGTCATAAATAGTTCCACGTACTTAAACAGTAAAATACTGAATCAAGAATATCTCCATAAATCTTGGAGCAGTGTTTTTCAAACTTGGCACCAGAAATGTACATCGCAAAAGAAACAGAATGACATCTGGGAATTTTAGTCTTAATTAAAACAGGACCAGCCGCATAACTGTTGTCATGGCAACGGTACGACGGGTGTCATTTTGTTTCTTTTGTGATGTACAGTTCTGGTGCCAAGTTTAAAGAACACTGCTTCAATATTTCTACAGATATTCTTGATTGAGTGTTGTTCTGTTTTAGTGGGACCACCTATGACGTCATCACTTTCCTCATTTGCATAACACAAAAACGTAGATATTACTAAAACGAAAAAAAATATTCCAAAAAGGAAAACGCCATTCTTCTTTATTTTGAAAAGTCTTTCAATTAAGCAGCAATTATTTTTTATTTCATGGGCACTTAAACGCTAACAAAAGCAAGAAACTGATTTTGTGGCTCACAAACTCCCTACTACAATAATCCTTCAGAAACTAACATACGGAAATCCTGATCGACCCTTAAACGACCACTTAAACCCACCTCCGCGAATGCAAGCCAACAGACCTAGAGATTTGGTTCTTTACCTCATTGATCGCTATTGTAGAGCTTTGCCGCTACGTTATTCTCAGACACCATAAATGCCCACTTCACGACCATAGAATTTGGGTTGACCATATTTAGCCTGGGGGGCACAGTGCCCGTTCTGATTCAAACTTTTGTCGCCCAAGCTATGGCAGTCAAACTTTGTGACGTTTTTCTAAAATTCAGCAGGAAATATTTTTGTGTGCCAATTGTGTAAGCTGACTAATAATGATTCAAAGTCTGGAGATAAATACAGTGTGAAGCAGTTATCGAGGTGATGCTTAATAATTCTGGAATTCTAACATGAATATATGAGTTTTAAATAGAAGTATCAAAGTTTTCATGTCTTCTCATGGGTAATTTTTTCTCCAGCTCAAAGGTTTAACCATGTCTAAAGAGCAAATACAATTACTTTGGCTTATAAGCCACCTGAAAATATTAGTTCCCGAGAAAGATTAATTGATAAGTACATATCACAAAAGCCTTTCACACAGAAATACGCCGGCGAAATTTACGGTCTTCTATAATTTCAAATCAAAATAGTTGCACTTTTGAGAAGAAGTTAAAAAAAACTATAATTTTACCGAATTCTAATTGGTTATCTGCACTAAATCTTTGCAAATTGCCACATTTTAAATTGGCCTGCGCTATACGTACCCTCTTTTAAGAGCTGGCAAGCCAAAAAACAGTGATCCTTTTCCAAGGCTTTCACGAATTCTTCATATGCTCTCGGTCCTTTCGTGGCTAACACCATCAACAGCTCTTCATTCTTTTCTTCTTGTGAGTGTTTTTCCTCTATTTTCTCTATATCGTCAGAGGTCAATACACCGGCCGTCAGCAATTCAAGCGAAACGTCCTTTGGATCAAGCTTTTCCAGGAGCAGCACATAGAACTTCAAGAGGATGTTCTTGTATTTGATGTTTCCCATAGCAACATTTTCTTCGTCTGTTAAACTTTTGAAACCTGTGTAAATCAAATTACAGACAGTTATTTACTGGGCAAGATCCGTACTCGAGATCAGGGGCATTGTGTCTTTGCTATATGAACTGACCTAGACCGAATTCTGACGTCTTCTGTGATCAGTTAGTGAAAAGACGCATGACAACACGTAATCTTTCTGTTTAGCATAATAAAGGAGCAAAACAAAAGCGTAATTACGTCATCTGTGCGTCTGTCCTCCAAATGATCGTGAGTAAGAATCTGCAATCAAAATGCTTGAACAATTTGACTTATTAATTGAAGATATACATCTAGATGATCAATTGAAAGTCTGGTCATTTCGGCATTATAAACGGAGAGGTGGCGACTGTAATTGGCCATATCGTACGTAAAACATCATGGAAGAAGATTGTATGGAGATGGAATGGTCAGTTACCTTCTTTGAAGCTCGAAGCACATGAGGAAGGATTTGGACCATGATACCAAATCAGTATACGAAATCCAAAATTGTGTACACGAGAGCCACCCTTTTGACAATGCTCTTATATATAACTTGCACATAATTTTCAAGCTGTTTATTTTGGTCTTAACAAACCATGCTCTCATTTATTCCTTTTAAAGGTAACTCATATTTTGTGACTACAGCCAACGGCAAAATATAATAACTCGCATAATTTAAATCCGAATTGCTATTGTCTTTGAGATCCTGAATGACACATTTGCCTGTTTCAAATTTTTTTTTTTTTTGACAAGCCATCCTTTGTGGGTCACTGTTTAAAAATTTATTCCATGTATAACGCGAGATAGTAACTGATCTTTTACGGTGTTGAAGCTTTTAAAAAGAGCGAGACACAGTTTTCCAGACGGTGTCAGACTTGCTTCATTGTTCATAATGCCATAAATGGAGCCAACCAGTTTAATTACGGGGGTATCCCATGAGATAAATCACAAACTTTAAGGCAAGAGTTTTGTTCAATAGTGATGTAATAGATGTGAGCTTTTCCAATCAGATCGTAAGCCAAGTAAATTTTGTTGTAACTGAAAAACACATCAACTTCTTGCAGATGAGATTGCTTTCAGTATTAATATCATTTTGTTTCTTTGACTTTCCTTTTCTTTCCTTTCCTTTACTTTTTTGTTTTCTTTTTTTATAAAGACTACTCGTACTGATTTCGTTGATTTTTTTTCATCTTGTTGACATTTTTTATTACACCGCGGACTTATTTCAGGGCCTAATTCAGCCGATTACATCTGGGAAAACAGCTTACCGGAAATTTCTGTTAAGAACTTTTTGCACCTCAAGTAGTCCTCTTTCAGGATAGTTGTTTCCAAACCGATGGTGTCCACATCAGCGTTAACCTTTTCTCTCCTTTCCTCTTTTGTGTTTGTTGTCTCGTCTGTAAGAAAGCACTCATTGGCTACTTCGTCTAAGTGACCGGAGCAATAATCTTCCCACAGCCGTTCAAGAATCTCCAAAGTACGGCAATGAACTGTCAGTATTAAACTGCCAGCTTTTTTCCCAGTTAAATGTATATTAATTGAGTCTTTTAAATGAAGATAAAACTTTCGAAGGTTCTTTTCTGAAGTGAGAGGAAAATATTCCAATCCCTGTTTTGCATATGCTGTTATGCGCTCTAGGAGTGCGTTTTGTTCCCGTTCAGTTTTCTTGGTAGTAAGAGCATCAGTAGTAAACTTGATTGGAAAATTGGCTAAACAGATAAAAGAGATAGAAAGAAGGAGAAAACAGTGATGTTAGTCTCTCAAACTCATCAATGACTCATCAAGTTTAAACACAGGAAATCATGACCGTGACGGTGTTTGTATATCTTATCTAAATAGCCGGCATAGATTTTCTAAGATTTTATTTCTCTATTTTCTTCTTAGTTTTATTTTCGATTGAAAAGACACATCAAACACCTAAGACAGTGTTTGACAACATTTCCAAGCACCTCAAAGCTCGTCAAAAATACTCCGCTGTGCCTCGTGTTTTCAACTTTTCGGTTTTTGCAAAGGTGGTCTTTCGTGTTTCATATATTACTTATCCACCTGGTAAGAGATCAGCAACTACGGACTAAGCGCTCGAGATAAGGCTGAGGACCGAAAATTGCTAGCATAGGAGGCAAAAGGGGGGAATGGAAGTATAGTGAGCAATAAGGGGCTGTATCTCTTCAAGACCAGTTGCGTTGAGTAATCAGTGTCTTCTGAATCTTCAGGCTCTTATAAGAACTCATCGCATCATTATCCAATATCTCTTAAATCGTGCCACGAATGTCCTCTACTTACATTCTGGTGTTTTGAACAGTTACTTAGTTCCATACATTCTCGCTGACATGGAGAAGAACATGGATCCTGAGTCATACTGAGCTGGAGCTCTTGCGAAGTAAGAGTATTATATGTATTGGAACGGTAAGTGGTACAGGGGGAGGTGGTAACAAGAACGGAATCGTCAAGTAGTTGTATGTAGTAATTCTCCACTGGGAAATGACCTAAATTATCATATAACTCTGGGTATTCCTCCTGTAAGAGTTGCATTTACACTTTGCTTTCTTGCTACTATGCTGATTATCTGCTGCAATTTTGATCAATGCTGTTTGCCGCAATAATTTCAATTTCCTGGTGCTACCTCCATCAAAGTTCCAAACGATAATACCCACTCTGCATGAATTTAGCTACATTACCTGCGGCTTAACACTATGGTAACGATATAATTTTCTTTTGCATATTGCATATTACTGCGTTAGCGTCCAGCCAGTTGGTATTTTAAACTTTTTTGTGTTAATATGCGTTTGTTTCATGTATATTGTCCCACAATCTGTCATCGCGCAGGCCGAGTGTAAAATGAGTTACCCCGTGTGTTGTTCTTCGTCTTCTTGGCGTACTTTGTCTTAAAGTTCCCGCGAGGCTGTTTGTTGCCGGATTTGTTCAAAGCTATAAAAAGGAACAAAGATAAACTGACACACCTGCATGTCTTCATGGGTCATCTATATTGAATGAACTCTCTGAGTAAATCACTATCAGAAATTTTCAGAGCATCACTGATAAAGAGCTAGCACATTTTATTCCTTAATTCACCTACCAAAGAACTCGCACAAAACTTACAAAGGGCAAAACTTATAAACTTTTTAATCCTTTTTAAGTCTATATTTTTGTAGAACATAAAATCTTGTGTGACGTAGATTAAGGAATCCGTGTTTTCTGTCACCGCGTTTTGCATTTACAAAACAGAGTGGGTCTTCAAATCTTGTTCTCGCTAGAACACAGCTCTCTGATATTTTTTTTTTCTGGATTTGGTGCTATTTGCAGTCTGAGACCACGAGTTCCTTCATCTACATTCCACCTGTTTTTTAACGGAAAAAACTTCTCAAACTCAGTAATAATATAGCCGTAACTCAGAAACGATTCCGATGACCCCAATTTTGTGTTATTGAATTGTAGTTAGCATGTCAAGGGTTGACTTTTTGCCAAGTTTGAAAAACATAGAGAGGGTGGATGGAGAGTCACTTTAAATTTTTGATACTTTAGGGTAGCTTTCAATCCGCTCATCACACAGATCTCAGATTGCCAAAAAGTTGCATTTTTGAAACACGCTAATACAATTCAATTATAGAGACAGGGGTCACTGGACTCGTTTTTGAGTTATAAGACCAAAGGTAAGAATAAGGGCGTTTTCAGCGAGTTACGTTGTTGCTATGGTAATCTTTTCTCCGCAACAAAAGGTCATAACTTGTTCATCAACGTCTGAGCATTTTTTTAGTACCACTGCTGTAACATTAAGTAAAACAACGGGTAGCATTAAAATATCAAAGACGTAGTGCTGAAAAATACTGGAAACCGTTAGGAGACACCTAAAATCGACACTTTTCGGCAGACGTCGTTGTATGATGTGAAGGTTCCAGAGAGAAAGTAAAATAAAAAGCAATATGATGGACACTTAAACTATGGACCTTTCGAATTCCTACGGGTAATCATAACCGTGGCAGTGTTAGGGTATTTGAGGTGTTGAAAAGCAAATGGACAAGTAACTTGCCAGGAATTTCCTTTGCAATGTGGAGTACGTTTTGAGATAATCCTTTTGTTGCGGTTGTGATTGGCCAGAGTGATAACTTTGGTTTTCGTTTTACGGCACTCAATTGAAAATCGCTCTATTAAGCAACAGCGTCATTGATATAATTGAAATTCTGTGCTTTGTTACATCACTGAGAAAATTACTGTATCTTGATTGGCCGAGAACAGGCAAATTTCGCGTTAAATTTTTAATTTGCACTGCAGTGCATTATAATAAAGGTGCGTTTGTGCTTTTCTCGCTTATATTTAGTAATCGCATCAAAGTTCGAAATTCGTTCAAATCGCACTCGCCAGAAGGTTTGCTCAATTTTAAGGGAACTTTCAAATATCACTCCTAGTGTAAATCCGACTGGCCGATAGCACGGTGTCACGGGCTAATAAATATCTTTTTCATTGTGCTTGACCAGGCTTGACCTATAGAGTTATTTTTTCCTCACAAACCTCACAAACGTCCACAAACTGAACCCAGCGGTTCGAGGTATGTCTGTCAAATGCATCGTTATGATGGCTCAGTTTGAACAAAACGATTTTATATAAGTAATTCTAGCCTTACCTTCCTTTTTTTCCTGGGGCTGATTTTTTGCTCCGCTGTTCCCGGCTTCAGCATCCACGAATTCTAGTGATAAATTCAAACCACACGTTTTGACGATATGAAACGACGCTTTGCGATGACAGCACGCTCCCTGTCCACGCATTGCCATAGATTCAGTATTTTCCCCGTCCACACTAAAACGCTCAAAAATGCTGATAACAACTGTCACTTGCACATGCACACGTAATGCGCATAGGCATACTCTATTTCGAAGACTGGACTACTGTACTGGACTGGACTTGTAAAACGAGGAATTTAAAAACACGGACTTGTAAAACGCGGACCAGTGTTTATTTAAACAATCATCTCCCACCCAAAGAACTTCAAATACTAATCAACTGTATTACACATTACACGATGTTATGGCTGTAGCGACTTCTTGAAGCCACAATAACCACTATACACCAGCCGGATGACCTTGTGTTAACCACGAGACTTCACCGACATTACTAAAACGATGGTCAGCAACACACGTCACCCGATATTTCCTTTGTATACTACCATGTAAGCCCCGACTGCATCAGGGTAACCTTCCCTTCCTTCCAACCAAATTCACGCGAAATACCATCCGATCTACAACCGTTTATTCTTCCTGAACACAACCAAATGTTCTTCGAAAGGCTTGCTGTTATGGTCTAGTGTGACTGTGATCTGCAAGATCATGAAACCATATGATAGTCATGTTCCTGTTCTCTTAGCAAGGATAATATAAGGAATTTGAAGTTCTTTGGATGAGAGATGATCATTCCAATCGATAACGGTAGCTGGAAAAGAAAGCTGTTGAAATTGTTGCTGAATGGAAATTGTTCCTTTCTCAGAATATAAAAGCATATTTAAAGGTGAAAGCTCCTCACGAGACACCTTGCGTGACGGAAAGCAAGCGACGGAAAAAAGTATGGAAACAGAAATATTGTTTAAAAAATATTTTTGGCTGTCTACACTAAGTTTAGAATTTAAAGATTTGATGCGGTAAATTAATTATCATTTTTTTAATATAACACAAGATTTGTTTGGATGGAATGGATGTAATGTTACTTAGTGGCTGTATGTATGTTAGAAGTATATCGTATATAAGACCATGTTTTATAAGTCCGTGTTTTACAAGTCCGTGTTT